GAGGTTTTAATAATGTCAGTGTGTAAATCAGATACTTCACCACCCTGTTTTATTTGGGAGCCTCACGATTTGAGTCTGGACTGTCTTCATTGGTGGCAAACTGTCCTCTGGAGGGAAAGCATTAGGAGGCTTCATCAGTAAAGCATAGCAGAGGAGAGCTGCTGTTCTGAGGGTAGGGCCCAGAATACTCTGCCCAGGCGCTGTCTCCATGCTCTTTGTTCAATACCATATTCTTTTAGGCCTGAAGTGACCTTACAAAGATGATATACCTGGAATGGCAGACTATGAATGTTTTGTTCCTCTCTTTTCTCCAGTGTTCTGGTTGTGTTACAGGAACATCTGGGCTTTTGTCTTTTTTAATTGAAAATTTACTTAACAACTGGCTTCTCTGGTATGCTGCTTTAATGAGGATTGTATTTCTACTGTATGCAAACAAATACTTTCTTGTGTGTTTTAATGGTCTGAAGGTTTTTTTAATAACTTGTAAGATTTTTGTATATGGTGGTCTTTTTCTAATATTCTGTGAAACGGGGATATAAGAAATAAATGGCTCTTGGGAAATATACTTCTGTACGTTATAGGTTCACCTGGGAGTGCACACTTTCGGCCACCTCTTTGGCTTTGAACTACAGGTATTACTGAGGATAAGACAACTGTTGTTTTTTCCTTTTTGGACTCTTTCCGGGGCAGTTTCTTCAGTCTGCCATCAGTACCCAAACCAGCGAGCTCTGCAGACCAGTCTCATTGACACCACAGCTGCAAATGCTGGAAGAGAAGCCAGTGGAACTATCTCTAAATTCATCTTCTGTATGTGGCATTTAGCAAGGTAGGACTGTTGGCCAGGAACTCTTCAACTTCATCTTGCAAGATAATTTAGGGCAAAAGGTTACAGAACTTTGGTTTCGTTCTTTAACTGTCGGGAAGTATCTGTATCAATGATCACCTCAGAGAATAAGAAATCAATTACTTTAGATACATCTTTTTGAATGTATGGCACATTTCATGGAGTTTCTTTTATGTCAGTTACAATTCTTTTTTTTTAATAAAAATTACCTATTATATATAAATTTCAGCGTTGCTTTGTTTTGTTCAGCTATAAGATGCATGCTTCTTAACTCTTCTTATCTAGAGCATTTTCTGTAGGAATAATTAGTGTGCTTTTTCCTCCTGATAGGTGAGTAGGCACAAGGCATAAATTGTCCTGAGGTCGTGATGCAGAGATTTTGGTTTTCTGTTCCCTGCTCTTTCATACACCCTGGGCTAAACTTACCTTTGCAACCACCTTTTTATGCTTGTGATGCTCACAGTAAAACAAGTAACTAACAGATTATTATGTAGCTTTAAAAAGAAGGAAATTCCTATATCATGCAAACTGTAAGAAGATCAAAGATGGGACACAGCTGAGGGACTTGCTCTTCATAACCTCTGCACAGAAGATGTGGAAACTGTTACATCATGGCCAGCTGCTGTGCCAGGAGGAGTCTTGACCTCTCTTCCTGTTGATTCAGGACATGAAAACAAGCCAAGACAGCAAACAATGGCTTAGGACTTCAGACCCCATCCTGCCCCCTGTGTCTCAGTTTACGTGGATTTGGCTTTGCAGGTGCTGGCTTAGCTATGCTGGGAGACTGAGGGGCTTTGTTCAGCCTCAGATGGGTCAGCAGAGCTGGATTTCTCTACGCATCAGCCCCTCCATCTGTGTCTTTTCTGCTCCAAGGTTTCAAACTCTCCTAAGGCTGTAGCTTTTTAGGTGCCAGACCCTGTGAAAGCCAAGGATAATTTGCCCCCATGAAGCATCTGCTTTGAGGCTGTCATAGGTCATGCCTTTTCTGACCTCATCAGTATGAAACAGTGACCTCTGCCTGGCTTATTGCTGAGGGGATGATAGCAGGATCATGTGTTTCTTATGTGCTTTTTCTTAATTGAGGCTGCTGTGAGGTGGGAGGTGGCTGTGCACATGTGCTGTATGAGCAGGGTTTGTGTTTGACTTTGTGCCATTCCCTGTAACTCTGTTCTTGTACCAGTTACCACGTCCTTAGCTCTCAAACACAGCTCAGGTTTTCTGGTTATTATTGTTGCCAACTGCCAGAATTTGTATGTCCAGGCCCATGGGAGCTGCCACCAAGATGACCATGTGGAAGAGGCAGCTTTTGCTCACACTCACTGAGTCTCTGTCCAGTAGGAGAGAGGATTTTTTTTTCCCTTGGGTCAAAACCAGTGTGCTACAACCATGAAGCACTAGACTGTTTCAGGGAAACAGGTATACCTGCTGGCACTGGCATGCATGCAGACAGCAGTGTAGCATTTACTGTAGTTGCAGATATTTTGTGTGCTGTGTCAAAAGAAACAACAGCAACAAAACCAACACTTTTTCAGTGGCTGATTAGAAGTAATAAGCATCACCCGTAACAACAGATACACTGGGTAAAACTTACTCTCCCTTGAGTATCTTTTATGTCTGGCAATGTGTGCCTCACAACTTTATACAGCTTCCAAAAATAAGTCATTTAAAAGGTTCCTGGTTTGCATTTGTTTTCTCATCTGTCATCTCAATAGCTAAAATGAAACTTTATTAAAAGCCAGGCCTTGACTAACAGACATAATGTTAGTCAAGACAATAATGAGTGGGTTTTGTCACTTTATTAAAACTCTGTGTGCTGGAATTTGTTATGTGCCTTTTGAAAAAATATAAAGAACTCACTATTGTACAACAATAGCAGCTTGATGGAGCACAGCAATAATGTGGTGTGTGTCATCAGTCTGTTTTTCTACACAGCTGCTATGCTCCAGTTAGCTGTCCTGGTGCTGTTTTTTTCTGCTCCAGTGCCGAAAGCATCATTCATTCATGATTATTTGCTAGCATGGGAAGCATGAAACTCTTCATTCTACAAGGAAGTCTACCCCAACATGGGTCTTCTAAGAAAAAGCTAATGCTGCTGGCCACTCATGGGCCTCTCCACCTCCAGGAGACATATTCTGCACCCTCTGTGCACAGCAGCCATGATCATTGCTTTCACACCAGAGATGAAGCACTAAACCTCATGTTCCTGAACCAAAGGACCATGAAAGGTAAACTTGAGGGTTCGCCTGGTGAATCTGTTGGGTCCCACCCGAAGACTGAGCACACAAGTGCTATCATAAAGTGTGCTGCTACCCCATGCCACACTTTGCCCCCACACACTACTAATTTTGCTGCTTTGCATTTAGCCAGCTGCAAAGCTGTATCCCTGATGCCAAACCTTAATAAGCCTTAATACAAGAAATGCCTGCATCAGGATTGAAAGAATAATAAAGTTAAAATCACTCATGAGTCACAGCAACCCAGTGCTGGTATTGCTTTGCCAAGAGTCTGAGTCAGCCCAGGCACCATCCACCAGCCCTTGGCCCTCCTTGCCTGTCACAAGGAGCAAATGTGCTCCCAGTGCTGGTGGGCTGTGAACGATGGATGGGCACAGCCCTGGCGCATGCAGCTGCATTCAGTTTGCTTGTCATTCAACACAGCTGGGGCTTTGGAGATGCACATGCAGCCTGCAGGATAGGGGGGCTCAGTTTTGCTGCTTCCATCTCTTGCAGCACTTACCGTGGAGCTGTATAATCTGGCCCGGTGACAGCCTTGTGCTGCTCAGGGCTGTCTGGCCTGGCTGTGGCTGCAAAGGAACAAAGTCAGGGCTGCTATGGGGCAGAGAGAGATGGTTGCTTGGGACCCTGGCAGCAGCACTGGCATACATGGCTTCACATCAGCAGGCAAAACACCACCTCCCCTCCTCTGCAACCCAAATCATCAGAGGCGCATGTTCAGCAGCAAAGCTTCTAATTTTTATTAAAATAAATGTAAGCTTTTATTTTCCCTTGCTCCATTCCTATAAGGAATGGCTTAATACAGGAGTTTGCTAATGTAGGATTGGTGTTACAACATATGCTGAGGAAAAAAACCCAAACAAATCCCATCTTCAGTACATCAACTTTTGTTTCCTTCCTGGCAGGAGGAGGTTATGGAGGGTGACACTGCATGGCTTTAATATAAAAGGGGGATGTAGGTGCAAGAGGCAGTTGTGTTCCATTTCTCTCCATCCTCTGATCCTATCCCACCTGTAGGAGCAGTGAAAGATCTAGCAGCATGCTGACTTGGACGAGCTCCACAGCTCCATCAGGAGAGCTCAAGGGGCTGGCATCAGTAAAGAAGCATGCTGATGCCGCCATATGATTAATTTTCCCTTTAAATTGACTTAAATCTTTTGAGAATTAGGAAGAAAAGCCAGAACAATAATTCTAATTTTTAGATGACAGTAGGGGAAAAAAAAGAAAAAGAGACTACTCCTAATGCAGAGCACAGCTGCTACACTGCAGCTTGGGCCAGAACCCACTGAAGGCATCTCTTTAACTTCACCTGGTTTGGACTGCTCCTGCTTGTACATGACTGCAGTCAGCGCAGCGATCACCACAGAGAAAGAGTATGCAGAGCTTGGACTCACTGCTGGTTTAACACTGACCACCCTTCCCTGCTTGGGCTGCATGTAGTTCAGGTTTAGTTGTCTGTTAAACACATTGTTTTTATACATGAGAGATGGAAACAGTTAACGGAAGTGGAGAGATGGCATGATTTGTAAAGATATTTGTTATATTCAGCTGTTAGCAAAGGAAAAAGACCCCAAGTTGACATTCAGTACCATAGTCTGGAAGATTGTCTATGTATATTTCTGCTATGGGGCTAAGATGCAAAGCTTAGGGTGGTAAATAAGCGTATTTACTAAATAACGCATACTGCGCTAGCACACAAGTCACAGCTGCCAGCTGGTGGCCAAGGCTGCGCTGCCTGATCCATAAAACAGACAAAACCAAGCCCCTGGGAAAGCTGAAGGGATGTTTCTGCCCTTCTCTGGCTTCACACCTTGGCCTGTCTGAGGTTTGTGCCCCTTGGTGGAGCTGCCGAAACAAACCTGCTTTGCACAGGGCATAACCCTCTTGCACGTGGAGTGTCACCAACCAGGGAGGAGGAGGTGTCACGCTGGCTGATCTACTGAATGGCACATGGCACAGGCTCTGCTTCACAGGACGTTCTCCTGGCTGGCTATGTTCAATGGCTGCTCCTCGGGGCTTGCTGAAACCACTTGTTCAATAGAAAAGAAAAGCCCTATGGAAAGCAATGGAGCAGAGCTGTACTGGTTAGGATTCAGGGCTGCTTTTCAGAGGGCCCTTAAGATCAAAAGTTGGTCTTAGAGACAACCTTCTGTGTGTGTGTCTGCCCTCATTTCATTTATGCAGTTCAGGATGTTTTTCTTGTAGAACTGACCCTCCTTGTCCACTGCTTCTTGTGCTGCCAACATATGTCTTCAAGCTGTTCAGTCAGCAACTTCTCTTGGCTTCCTGATCCCCTGCGGGTTGACCCTCCTGCCCAGCATCAGTTGGTGGAAATGTGACACCAAGCTCCTGTGCACTGTTACCACGTAAGAGTTCAGTGCTCTCTTCTAGCTGGCGCATCTGCCTGCTTGCTGCTCGTTGCTGCTGCTCCTTCAGCTCACTGTAGGAACGGGAAAAGGTGTGAAAGATGGATGTGACTGGGAAAGCCATCAGCAAAATCCCACTCAAGATACTGCTCAGGGCTACCACCTGTCCAGGGATGCTACGAGGCACCATGTCCCCATAGCCAACAGTGGTCATGGAGATCACAGCCCACCAGTAGCTGGTGGGGACGCTTGTGAATTCTTGCTTGGCTCCCAGTTCGCTCTCAGCCAAGTACACCAGCGGTGAGAAGAGGGCCATGGCGACGCAAAGGAAGAGCAGGAGCAGCCCAAACTCCCTGGTGCACCGGCGCACAGTGAGCCCCAGTGTCTGCAGCCCCAGCGAGTGCCGTGCCAACCTCATCACGTACAGGATGCGCAGAGCCCGCAGGAAACGCAGCACCAGGCCCACTCGTTCCAGGTACTTGTTCCCAGCTCCCCCACCGGGCTTGCTGCTGTTTTTTGTGGAGGCTGTATCCACAATGAGAGAGATATAGAAAGGCAAGATGGCCAGGATGTCGATGATGTTGAGTGGGGTTTTCAGAAAAGCACACTTGTTCTCTGCCTGGATGGATCGCAGCAGGAACTCAAATGAAAACCACGCCACGCACACTGTCTCCAGCACAAAGATGTCATAGCACTTCTGTGAGCATTCACCCTGGGGAGAAGAGGAAGGGGAAACACAGAAAAGGGAGGAGAAAATGATTTAGCCACAGAGCAAACTAAAGAAACAGAGTAGCAGTTCTTAAAGGAAAGCACCATGTGAAATAGATGTAAATTGTAAGGTACCAAAGTAAATCATTGCTGCTGAGAGCAGCTGGAATGGATAACTAAAACCAGAGCTACCAGCTACGTTTGGCTGCAGGATGGGTCAACACCACTCAGGAGTATCCAAGGCTGCCAAGAATATGGTGTGCTATCAGCTGTCGGCTAGACAGCACACTGCTGAAAGGCCAGTGGCTCTCACCTCATTTCTAACCAAGCCTTTAACACCCTTTAGAAATAATTAGTACAGGATTCACAGATTTTAATAAATGGTGATCTCTCCCTCCCTTCCTGATCAATAAATTGCTTGAAAACAGCTCATAAACACCTACGGCATTTTATGTCATGTGCTTGGAGTAATCTAATATTCACAGAACATGGAGTATTGTTTATATTCCAGTGAACATTTATTAACACACTAACCCTGTAGTCAAAAGCTTACCTGAAGTATTGATAAATGTGGGTATTTCTAACAGAAAAAAGTAACTCAAGAACAGAGGAAGGGACGGGAGAGGTAAACTGTTTAAATTACCTCACCTGTAACTAATAATGACCATGATGCCCTACCTTAGCTTTCTGAGACACTGGAAGAGGTGCTCACTTAGTGGAAAATAAGGGAGCACTCAGATTCTTTAGTTACAATGCCTATAAATGAGCCAGCCTTGGTGCATTGGAACAGCAATAAACAATGATGACGGTGATGGCTGCTCTTTTGACTGTTAATTCAATAGCACGAATACTATGGCAATTCTCTACTAACTCCAGCTGAATAATAATAAGCTTCTCTAAATAAACAGATTTTGATGTGGACAATTATAGGGCTAGTGCTGTTTCCTTTCTAAATGTTCATATGAAAGCGTTAATGCTCTGGAGGCTTGAAGTGGGAGGCAAGGGTATATTTGTTTAAAGGAAGTGTATATTTATTCAGTGAGCCAGTTTGAACAGTTCATGAAAGCTCTTGTAAGCATGTAGGAGGCCATCCATGCTAGAGGGGTGTGTGACTCCCACTGGATGCAACAGGTATTAGGTACCAATGTAAAACCTCATTTTGCTCTCCTGTACTAAATTATGGTAATAAAATATCACTCAAGTGTGGTGAGCCTGTGTCAAGCTGGTCCCCATTTCACCACTGGAGAAACTGGCATAAATATAAATGGTTCTGCCCACATGCTCACCACAGGTGCCTTCTGCTAGGCAGAGCTGAGGAAATGTTTACTGCACAGCACCACATCCTGATTTCATCCCCCTCTAAGTGTTTATGAACAGGTTTTTCTTTGTTTTGAAAGAAAACAGCAAAAGAGTGATGAGGCTTGTGCTGTCTCCGTTAACTACAGCATTCCCCAGAATGATGGGGAATGACTGGATACATGTTCCAAGGGCTGCTGCACTGTTGGCACCAACAAGATGTCATCACATTGAATGTACCACCTTGTGATATCTCAATATACCCAAAATGCCGAGGCACCCTCCCCATTTCACGCTTACTAAGAGACTGAGACAATAACTAAAGCGATGTCAATACAAAAACCAGAAAAAAAGCTGGTCCTTGTATTAAACAAGAAGGAAGGTTGTAATGCCTTTTATTTATAGATATTTTTAGTATTCCATTTTCAATTGGCATATGATGTACCTCCCACTGTTTCCCAAAGGGTCATGCTGATAGGGAGAGAAAAATTACTTGTTCTATTGAAACTGCTGTCAAGATTTAAAGCATATTGCAGGGAGGAAGGATAATCTTGTCTTACTGAGCTTACTGTAGCTCAGATAGACTGTCTTTAGCTTTCTAATTTTGATAGGTGTGAAAACTAGAAGGAGCTTAATTTATTTCTGCCTCACCAAACTAATTTGGTCATAAAAAGTATTTTTGTCACAATCATCATTCATAGGACAAAACATTTTGTTTATAGGGGCTTTGCTCCTATCACAGCATAATTAAGCTGTCAGGCGCTCCCAGCAGATACAGAACCAAGATGCTTTCACACCACTGCACAAATCTGTCTCTGTGGGCCAGAGCCAAAGCTCACAAAGTCAAAGTCAGTGGAAGGACTCTGTCTGCACCACTGTAACTTCTCATCTTATTACCAAGAAACCAGCCATCACACCAGTTTTGTTCCAGAGCCCTGCTGCTGGGAATCTCCAATCAGGACATGCTTATCCCACATGTAAGGGCAATGGCTGTGGGTGATTTGCAGTTCCTGATACTATCCTTCCACATGACCCATTTATATCACAAAAAGATCAGCCTGAGATGTTAAGAAGATGATCCATAGAAGAATAGTTACGGCTTGAGCAAAGCAGCTGCTATGGCAAGAAGGAAGAAACCCCAATGTGCAAATCTGCTTTCTCTGAAAGCTGCATCAGTACTTGGACCACCATGTATGGAAACTAGGATGTAGTTCACCTTAAGAAACCTGTCAGGAAGCATTCTGGATTCTGATGTGCATGTATCTGATTTTTGTGCCACTAAAAGTTTAAGGAAAGTTGGAGAAGCCTATGTAGATTTTAGCCTTGGAATAGACCTACAAAGACATAAAGGCACTTAATAGCTAATTTGGCACCTAATTCCTCCAGTGCTCTCTATTTTGTGCATAAGGAAAGGAAACTCTCCAAAGTCCTTCTGTGTACGTGTTTCGGTGTGGGAGCAAACAAGAGTGAAAAAATGTTGCTCATTAACTGACGACCAGTGGAGATGACTTTCAGAAGACTCTGATCTGCCCTCCCACACTCTGATGTGTTTATCCTGTGTAGGTTCACAAACCTACAGCTTTGCTATTTATGTCTCCAAGCTTCCTGCAGAACTACTTCAAAAATGCCAGTGCAGGAGCATCCTGGCAACCTTTGCTCAGTTGAGCATGGGGGGGCTTGGCGGGATCTGCAGCGTGGGTCATCCAACGCAGCAGACCCAAGCTGCCCATCACTGTAATGAAGAGCTGAAATATACTCCCATCCAGAACTGATGCTGGGCTCTGGCTTTCCTCTGCTCTTCCCACTATCCACATCTGACAGCTAACCCTGTGAATGCCAAAAAAGTTTACTTTCAGTAGAGCCAAGTAATAATGCTCTGCCACACAGAGTTCATTTTAGTGGGATGAAACAATCCCCTCTTTCAGCTAATGTATAATTACCTTCAGCAAAGTGCTAGTCTTCCACAGTGTTGTTATTAACCTATTGCAATGTGAACAAGCCAGGCGCGGTCCGAAGGCTGTCCTGAGAATAACAGGGTCTGAACAGGCTTTCAGAAAAAGAGACCTGTGTGTCAATTAACCTGCTAGAGGCCTTTTTTTCCCCACTAATTAAGTGTCTTGCTCTCCCCTGGACCATGTTTCAATATCATCTAGGTATGACCTATTATTATCCTCGCATGAAATCAAAACAGTAACAGCAAAAACACATTTCATGCTCTTTGGTTCTCTGAGCTGCAGCTGCTTTTCCTTGCAGCTTTTTCCCCTTCATTACAGCATTGTGAAAAAACAAACAAACAAACAGGCAGGTTTTTTGCTTTCTAAAACTTTTAGCTATGTATTTGAGTCCAACCGGATGCTATGACTCTGCTTAGGGTTTTGGCTGTTTCTTTTTTCCATTCAAGAAAACAAAACAAAAATGCGCAGAAAGGCACACACGGAGATGGAAAATACCAGTCAGGAATTAATCAGCCATTTAAGAAAAAAAACAAGTCCTAACAAAATAGGATAGCATCCTGCCCAAAATAGGTCTGTATCAAATCGGTATTTTCACAAACAAGACCAAGCTACACCAGCTTATGGCCATAAAACATGTACATTAATAACTACGTACTGGTTTTTCCTTTTTTTGTAAGCAAAATAGCTAGCTCTCTAACTAACCAGATTTCTTCATCTTGTAATCTAATGGATGCATTTTTATGATTATATTTTCATGTGTAGCTTTATAAAACTGGGCCACAGGAAAACTTTTTTTTAGCATTCAAAACAATTTGATTTCTTTTTCTCCTTTAGAGGTCTAAATGAAAAATGGCAGGAATGGCAAACAGAAAGGACATCCCCATTGCGCTTATCTAATGTTAAAAGACTAACTTTTTTTTTTTTAATGGAAGTGTTCAAAACCCATGTGGATGAGGCCCTCAGTGACAGGGTTTAGTGGTGGGCTTGGCAGTCCTGGGGTAAAGGTTAGACTTGATGATCTTCAAGGTCTTTTTTAACCTTGATTCTATGGTTCTATGTAACCATGGCATTAAATAAACAATATATTTGGCTTTTGATTACAAAAAGCAGTGGTGTAATAAAGATAAATGGAAACAAACATTCTTTAGAAGATGTACATGTTTATGTGTGTACATGTAGGTTTTTTCCAAGCAGCAAGTAGGGTTTTTTTTTCTTGTGCAGAAATTACTTGAGATGGTGAAATATCTGCAGTTGCAGAGGATTTTGAGGCCATTTACTAATGTCAACTCAGGGTACAAGAAAAGAAGGAAGGTCTCAGTGAGTAGCTCTATGCAGTCAGATTAAAGTGAGTCTCCTTCACTAGGAGCTGTAGCCATTTGCTGTCAGAAAGCCAACTACAGTATATCTTCCTTCTGGAGAAACGTTTTCTTTGCCAGAGGCTCATTTGGCAACAGGAAAACTACAAAAAGAAAAGCTGGTAATCACTGGAGTTCAAATCCAGCTGTGCTCATTGCTCCCTATGGTCAGCCTAAAAACTGCAGGAACCTTTCACAAACATTTTGGCCTGCCTTGCAGGGTCCCTTTCACTTGTACTTGCCCGGACTGTGCCTCAGAAAAATTCTCCACTGTGTGTTGTGTGACTTCTTGACCCTTCCTTTGGCCTGCTGAGAAGGAATTCTGATTTTCCTAGACATTCCTGCAGGCTCTGACAGCATTAGCCCCCTGTGCCATTAGAAGATGTCAAAAGCCAGAT